GGGCTATCATTACGTGGTAAGTGGCACAAACGTGTATCCCAGAGGCTGGGCTGGGCTCATCATGGTAGTGATTCGCTTACCAAACCAGGATTATATATTTCCAAAGAACAACCCAAAGGATACTGCGCCTAACAACGAGCGTGGTATTGATACAGAACTTCGTAGCGCTCAGATCGAGTTGCGTCTCAGTGAACTAGAAGAAGCGTATCGCGTCTTGGAAATCATATGTGCTGGAGACGGCGAGAAGATCGCGCGGCAAAACCGGCGTTGCGAAGGCTTTGTTGGTGGCTCATCGCGAGGCTTGAAGGGAATCAATTGGCAAAGATGGAAAGGCAGATTCCATGTTGACAAGATGATACTTGCTGGGCATAGTTTTGGGGCTGCGACGGTTGTCGAAGCTCTCAGACATACAGCTAGGTTCAGAAATGTGCAAGCTGGAATCATCTACGACATATGGGGGTCAGCATAATCGCACTTGTTCATGTTTTCAACCCTAACATAGACACAGGGCCCCTATCAAACCACCAGCGGAGGATCCCAAGCACCGCATCAATCTACCCTTGCTCTCAATCAGTAGCGAGGCATTCATGTACTGGGAAAAGAACTGGAACGCCGTCATGAGCCTGATGGAGGAAGCGAGTGAGCATGGTGCACCGTCTTATCTGTTCACCGTCAGAGGCTCAGTGCACATCTCACAGTCCGACTTTTCAATCATGTATAGGCATCTCACGTCCTTTCTCATGAAGGCGACAGTGCACCCACAGCGGGCAATTGATCTTAACATCTCGACAAGTTTGGAATTTCTCCGGCTAGTAATTCCATCTGCCGGAGGTGGAAAGGCGATTATCGACCGTTGTATGACGGACGAGAAGATCTTGGAGACACCTGTTCTAGAAGTGATGCCAACAGATCACCGTCCAGACGACGAATGGATCGCTGCGAGGCTCCGTGTCGAACATGAATTCAGAAAACGCGTAGCATCTAGTGTGCAGAGGAAGCTCAAACGGAAGAAAAATGGAAACGCTGGGGTTTACTCCACTTCAGATGAGATGTGGTGCCACTTTAAACCCACAGAAGAAGATTTAAAAAGATGGATAGAGGTGGAAGACAAAGGAGCGAATCGCAGAGATGACAGTTATGCAGTTCGTGGAGGTGGGCTTGAGGAATCTCGGGAAAGCAGCGATGACAACACAACCCTGAGCAATCTCGAAGACACACAGAATCATACTGGAGAAAAACCTGCGATGGATGCAATTGAGCCTGATCGAAATTATCATCATGATTCTCAGCAGGTGCAAAAAC